AAGATTCCCTGGGCTTGGAACACCTTCTTGCAGCTATAGCAGATACTTTGATCCTTTTGAGCTGTTCCTGGTGGCAGAGGTGTAAAGTACAGTGTTGCTGGCCAGCTGAACCTACTCTGGGAATGCTTTCAAAAGCCTCAATTAGTGCCTAGGTCATTGAGGCAATATTGATACCAACTTTGGCAGAAACTCCCTTCTGTCAGCAAAGCACAGCTGAAATCTGACTTTGAAGCACCCTGGTTTATGCCTGGTTCCCAGGCAAGGCCCAGGGCAGATGTGTGATTCAGCACTGAGGCAGGCATGCTCTAATCAGTGTGGTGAAGCTGCAGGAATGACATGGCACTGGGTCTTCCAAAAAACCCCAACTTCAGATCATTGCAGGAGTTCTGTGTCCTTAGGCCCTCAGTGTTTGTCTGCGAGGTGCCCTGGAGCAGAACCTCTGATTGTATTAGTGTCTCTCTCAGTATTCTACATCTTACAGCATGTGACATCACTGTGAACATCAGCTTTTCAGTTGTCTTATTGTGAGTTTTGGAATACATTTTGCAGTAAAAGAGCTTTTTGAACTTATTTTTTTTCTTCTCTCTGCAGGCTGATGAAGATCCTATCATGGGATTCCACCAGATATTTCTATTAAAGAACATCAATGATGCCTGGGTTTGCACCAATGACATGTTCAGGCTAGCACTGCACAACTTTGGCTGAGCTGGCAACCCTGAAGCACCCCAGCTTTATTTTTGATGGTTTGGTTGTTTTTTTTTCCTTCTCTCCTCTTACTGGTATTATTCACACTCACAGAACATTCCAAATATCATACACAAACCTGCAGCACTGCAGAGTGTGAGCAAAGCAGGAGCTGTGACCTGCCCTTCTGCTGAGTTTACATTGTCAGAGGTGAATTTCTTGTGCATGATGTTTGGAAGTTAGACTTAGCTGCATTTGACAAGAGAAATTTGTGTTGTACCAGCATGCCTCAGAAAGAAGTATTAATGCAAAAGGTTGTTGTTACGTACTGACAAGATGCTGTATAACCCAAAGACATGAAAGAACAGCAGCCTGTACAGCCCAGATACTGATTTGTTCAGATGTTCCAATGCTACGTTACACAATAAATCCTTGAGATTTTCTTAACAGTTTAAATTGTTTTAGTGACTTGGATATGGAGTAGGTGATAGTACTCGCTGTGGATGTCCTGTGTCTGCCTGGTGTGGAAATGCTTACAAACTTGCTTACAAACTTACAACTTGGACTGGAGAGCACTTGGCAGTTGTACCAGGAGAGGCAGTTCTGATATGCCCTTGGCCATACAACTTCTTTCTCCCTCCTACCCAGCAGCTTTTATGACAAGACTTCTAGACAGGTTAGTTCTCATCTGCTGGATTTTACCAGGACAGATATTTCAAATAACACTCAAGGATGCCAACAGTCACAGCAGCCTGTTAATCTTCATGACTGTCATTACATTCACCCTCAAAGTGGAACAGGCCAGTTGTATTTTCTTCACAGGCAGGACATCATTTCACCACTGCCCTCCCGCAGCTTGTATCCAGCTCTGAAGCTCCGACTAGATCCGTGCTCTGCCGGGTTTTCTAAGCATCCCTGCACTGTCAATGGAGCCGGTGGGTAGTACAGCCTTTGCTTTGCTGGTTGCTAGGACATAATCGGCTGTTGTGTGTCCTCCACCCTGCAGATGGCGGTGTTCCACCACTGAAGGAATTTACTAATCACAGAATGGCTTGGGTTGGAAGGGACCCTAAAGCTCGTCCAGTTCCAGTCCCTGCCACAGGCAAGGACACCTTCCACTAGAGCAGGTTGCTCCAAGCCCCGTTCAGCCTGGCCCTGAACACTGCCAGGGATGGGGCAGTCACAGCTTCTCCGGACAACCTGTGCCAGGGCCTCAGCACCTTCACAGGGAAGAACTTTTTCCCAAGAGCTCATCTCAGTCTTCCTTCTGTCAGGTTAAAGCCATTCCCCCTTGTCCTGTCCCTACAGGCTCTTGTCCAAAGCCCTTCTCCAGGTTTCTTGTAGCCCCTTTAGCCACTGGAAACTGTTCTAAGGTCTCCATGGAGCCTTCTTCAGGTTCTGTCCAGCAGATGAGGTAGCACAGGAGCAGAACTGCCTTCACTTTGCCTTCAGATCTCACTGAGCTCTTAAAACCCAGTTTGAAAGGGATTAACATGCCTTGCGGTGCTTGCTTTTAAAGTTTATGACCATGGCATTGCCCTTTTTCTGAGGAAAGCCTAGAAAGGAGCATGCGCAAGCCAGTTATGATACAAATCTGCCTGCTTTGGCCTTTGCATGGGAACAGAGCTTTCTTGGAAGCTGATGTTAGGACCCTCCTGCTCACTGTTGCAGCATTCTTGTATGTTCTTCATTTCAAATTCAGAACTCCTGTCACTGCTGCTAAGCAATAAAAGTTGTGTTCAAAATTCCTCACCTGAAGAGATCAGCTCTTTCAGTAGAAAAAGGCTTTTCGTGTGGTCACTACTAAGCAAGGATCCTTGTGCTGGGGCTCTCTTTCCAAATGGAGCCCGGCAGAGGAAAGAGGACCTAGGAACCTTGCTCTGCAGAAGGATCTTGCTCTGCAGAAGGGATCACAGAGCAGAATGCTCTGCAACATAAGGTTATTCCCCACATAAGGAGCTCAGTAAGCCAGGAGAGAGCTTGTTTAAAAGTCAGTTTCAAGGAATGATACACAGAGCAGATGTTAGTCTTAGAACTATGTAAAATGAGATTCTTTTAGGCCATTAAAATCTCAAAGCATGGAATTGGCCATGTAGTTAGTTCAGGGGTTCTTTCTCCTGCCTTTCTCTACACAGTCACTTCTGGCTCCTTACTCGGATGAGATAAACACTGCTGTTTCTAAATCGGTATTGGTTAATATTCTTGACACCTACAGGTGAATTTTGAGGCCCAGTGTATTTGCCGTCTCTTTGTTTCTGGTGCCTGTGTTTAGTGCCAGCATTAGGTTGAGCCCCAGTAGTCCCCTCAGAGCTGGTTGACCTGTGAGGGGGGTGTGGCCAAAGTGGAGGAGGCCTGGGAGGCCTCAGGAGATCACTGCCTGAACATAACCAGCCTGCCTGAGCCTTCACAAGTGAGGTTTTACATGTCCCTCATGGTACTAGGCCTGGCAGGAGTTTGTATGGGTGGTACTACCACAGGCATGGCTGAAGTTGCCTGACAAAGGAGGGGCTATGGATGCTGTCTATCTGGACTTCTGTAAAGCCTTTGCCACAGTTTCCTACAACATCCTTCTCTAAACTGCAGAGATACGGATTTGATAGACTGATGGATGAGGAACTGGCTGGATGGTCATAGCCCGAGGGTCATGGCCCAATGGCTCAGTGTCTGGATGGACACCAGTGACAAATGGTATCCCTCAGGGGTCCATGCATGGAGACCTTCCAGTATCTGAAGGGGGCCTACAAGGGTGCCAGACAGGGACTGTTGTGACAGGACAAGGGGTGATGGGTTTAAACTGAAAGAGGGGAAGTTCATGTTGGATATAAAGTAGTTCTTCCCTGTGAGGGTGGTGAGGCACTGGCACAGGTTGCCCAGAGAAGTGGTAAATGCTCCATCCCTGTCAATGTTCAAGGCCAGGTTGGACAGAGCCTTGGGTGACATGATCTCATGTGAGGTGTCCCTGCCCTGGACAACCTGCCTGGCAGGGGTGTTGGAACTAGATCTTTAGTCTTTTCCAACCCTAACTATTCTATTATTCAGTGATTCTATGATACTAATATCTTCATCAGTGATGACTGAGTGCATCTTCAGCAAGTTTGCAGATCATAGAGTTGTATGATCAACCAGGTTGGGAAAAACCTTTAAGATCAAGTCCAACCGTTCCCCATCACTGCCAAGGCCACCACTGAACCATGGCACTGACGGCCTCATCTACACGGTGTGTGAACACTTCCAGGGTTGGTGACTCCACAACTGCCCTGGGCAGCCTGTTCCAATGCCTGAACACTCTTTGGGGAAGAAGGTTTTCCTAGTAGCCAATCTAAATGACAATCTAATATCTACATGACACGAAGCTGAGTGGTGCAGTTGACAAATATGAGGGACAGGATCCCATCAAGAGGGACTTGTACAGGTCTGAGAGGCAGGCCCATGCAAACCTCGTGAGGTTCAATGAGGCCAAGTGCAGATGGGTCAGGGCAAAACCCCAGTATCAATACATGCTGGAGGAAGAAGGGATAGAGAGTTGGCCTGAGGGGAAGGACTTGGGGGTTCTGGTGGATGAAAGACTGGATGTGATTGGGCAATGTGTGCTTGCAGCCCAGAAAGTCAGTCGTATCTCGGGCTGCATCCAGAGGCGTGTGGCCAACAGGTCAAGGGAGGTGATTCTGCCCCTCTGCTCTGGTGAGACCTGAAGTACTGTGTCCAGCTCTGGAGTCCTCAGTACAGAAAAGACATGGAACTGTTGGAGAGGAACAGAGAAGGACAACAAAAATGATCTGAGGTTGGGAGCATCTATTCTGTGAGGAACGGCTGAGAGAGTTGGGCTTTTTCAGCCCAGAGAAGACTGGGGAGAAGTTATTGCAGCCTTTCAGTTTTTAAAAGGCGCCTTTAAGATGGGGAAAGACTTTTTAACAGGGCCTGTGTGACAGGACAAGGGGTGATGGTTTTAAACTGAAAGAGGGAGATTCAGGCTGGATGTGAGAAAGAAATTCTTTACCATGAGGGTGGTGAGTCCCTGCCCCAGGCTGCCCAGAGAAGCTGTGGCTGCCCCATCCCTGGCAGTGTTCAAGGCCAGGTTGGACACAGGGGCTTGGAGCAACCTGGTCTAGTGGAAGGTGTCCCTGCCTGTGGCTGGATGAGCTTTAAGGTCCTTTCCAATACAGATCAGGCTGGGGTTCCATGAGATGCCTCGAGGGGGCCGGAGTGGGCCCTTGAGCCCTGCGGCAACTTGGCCGGGTTCCGATCCCGGCGCCGCTTTCGCTGAGGGGAGGGGCCGGGTTAGGGCTGTTCCCGCACCGCGCCCGGAACCCTCTATCCCGGCGGCGGTTTCCGCCCGGCGCATTAGGAGTCGGGCCGGAGGCGGAAGCGCAGGCGGCGGGCAGGGGCAGCCCGCTGGCCGTGGTGCGGGAAACAGTTGGGCAGGCAGGGCCGGGTCGGGCAGGGCAGGGGACGGCTGCGCTGCTCTGGTGCTCTGCGCGGGCCGGGCCCCATGGCCTCCTCCTCCAGCATCGACATTGAGGACGCGACGCAACATCTGCGGGACATCCTCAAGCTAGACCGGCCGGGAGGTGAGGGGCCGGCACCGGCGGGAGCGGGAGGCCGCCGGCTGCGGGCCTGAACGGGGCGGGGTCGCCGCGTAGCGCCGGGGCCGCGCTGCCTTGTCCCGGGCCTGCGGTACTCTCCCAGGCACGGGCTCGTTTCCCTTCAGGGTGCAGGGGCCATCGCCCTCCGCTGGCTCCCCCCTCGCCCAGGGCGAGGGACCTGCTCGACCCTGCTGCTGCCCCCGAGGTGTGCTTGGGGAGTGCAGCCGGGCGAGGAGAGAAGCAGAGATCCGGTGTGAGGGCCTTCACTGGTGCGGGAGGACTCTCGTGGCTGAGGAGAGAGGGAGCAGTCGGGACACAAACCTCCGTGCTGCTGCTGCGGGTCTCTGGGCGCTTGTTGTCCGAGAGGTGTCGCCCTGGAAGCTGACAGCGCTGACCTCCACCTAAGCCTTCCTTCGTTATTAAGAACACTGAGTTTTCCCGAAGTGTCTTCGCTGGGCTCAGTGGAAGGAGCTGCCAGGCCTCTCTGGGATCAGTGCGATCTTAATCATAGAACCCTGGAATGGTTTAGGTTGGAAGGGACCTTAAAGCTCATCCAGTTCCAACCCCCTGCCACAGGCAGGGACACTTTCCACAAGACCAGGTTGCTCCACGCCCTGTCCAACCTGGTCTTGAACACTGCCAGGGATGAGGCAGTCACAGCTTCTCTGGGCAGCCTGTGCCAGGGCCTCAGCACTTTCACAGGGAAGAACTTTCCACAGGGTTTTTGGTCACAAATATCTCTCTTAAAGTGGCTGTGATTGTTTTCCCTTTGCTTTGTGCTATTCTGCTTCTCTGCTCAGAGTTCAGTAGACTTCCTTCTGCCTATAAAACACTTGCAGTGAACAGCAGCAGGCTCAGGAATCGGCTGTGGAGGGCTCTGTACTTAAAAAACTGAAAGAAGTCAGAGCAGTGATGGGGAGCACCTGTTTTCACAAGCAGTTTCTGAGCTGAAGAAATGCGTGATGTTTGTGAAATGCTTGGAGTTGTTTCTATTCTCTCAAGGTGATTTGCCTTTCCCTGGAGCAGCTTCTCTTGCTGGTTGAAGGAAAGGAGGTATTTACTGAGTGTGGCTTCTTTCTTTTAATTTTTCTTCTTTCCTATTGACTCTTGTTATACCTTCTCTGTTGTCACTAGTGCACAAGACAATAGAGAGGACAAGGAGCTATTGGACAGTAAGTCAGGCGGTAAGGAACCCGTGCTTGTTCTCAGCAAAAATCACTGCCTGGGTAATAGCAGATAGATTTGAAAGAACTGGACATAAGAAGATGAAGAGCAAGAGTACATGTGTGTTAACTGAAAGCCTCTGAAAATCCTATTAGGATGTCAGAGAAAAGGGAAACTGGGTAGTCCTTCAAGACTTATGAAAGAGAATAGAAGCATCCTCATGAATTGCATGGGTAGAGCTGGTCTTGTCTGGCATCAAGTTGCTGCGATCAAGGTTCTCTCTAGTTGTGGTTTCTGTTATAGCCTGGATTTCACTTATAATACCCAGCAGACGCTAGTGTAGCTGCTTGCAATGAAGAAAGGTTTACAGTGCAGGTGGCTGTGAACAGTGTTATGTTACTTTGGGTGCTCTCTAGACTGGTGACAAGAAACACACCCTGCTCTAAAAGTTTTAAACTCCCAAAGTGCTTTGTTAGTTCTGCTGGGTTTGGCGATTGTGAAAATGTTATCTACTACCCATTCTCTCTTGATGCAGTTTTCTCCCAGTTTTGCAAATATCACCCATTGCTTTGATAGCTCGTTGCCATTTTCCCATGCCATGCCCTAAGCAAGGAGGAGCTGCATGGTCAAGCCATGGAGCTCCCAGCTGAGGCACGTATACAGGCTGCTGGTGACAGTCTGCTGTGGACGAGTATCCTTGCTGTATCCTTCAAAGCACTCTGAAATCTCTGCTGATAACCAGGTGTTCCATGGGCTGCCCCTGCTCATGTGGTGTTTATCAGGGAAATGTTTTGTTTAGTGCAAAGTAGAGTCCCCTGGTGCAGGTGGTCGTGAGAGTAGGAGTTCAGGATCTCAGCTCTGATTATTCCTCTGTTCCTGCTCTTTAAAAAGGCACTGAACACAATTGCACTTCTTTCCCTTTGAAGGCCTAGATCTAGATCTACCAGGTTAACATTTTGGTTTTGTTTATCTACCTACTAAACATTGAGCCCCTTCACTTTTTTTATGCCTTCAGGATTGTGTTCAGGCAGCACCTGCACTTTTCTGGCTCCCACTAAGACAGAGTGATGGGCTAAGCCCATTCCTGAACTTTGGTGTACTGTTGTTGTGCCCATCAGCCTCAAGAGAGTTTTTTCTCCTTCTCTTCTGCATGGAGTGACAGTCACTGTCCTGCTGTCCATAAAAGAGCAGAGATACTTATGTGAGGCATTCCTGTTGCTGCAAATAGAGCAAAGAATGCATCATCTTTCTCTGATGGCCTGGATGCTGCTTCTGTAGTGAATGTTTTCCTCTTTTTCTAACAAAGGACAGATTGCAGTTGGTTGAAGTAGCTGCAACAGGACAAGCACCCACCATATGCTATAGGAATAAGGGTCAAATCTTAATCTTGTAGGCACAGCACAAATGTGTTAGGTGGTTACAGGTTCATGTTCCCTGGCCCGTAGTTTCCTTGTGGTGAGTGCTGCTGCTGTTGTCTCCATGCAGTGAGGTGAGCACTCAAATGGACTCTGCAGTGGGATATGCTGTCTCTGCACAGTCTTTTTGTGAGCGCAGTCGTTAGTGATATAATGACTCTCTTCATAAACAGGCAAGTTTTAAATATTCTTCTGGCAAATGAGTAATGGCAGTTATTTCCGTAGGCAGCAGCACTCAGTCTGCTATGTTAAAGCCTATTTGGTAACGGAAAGCTTGCCTTGCTTTCAGAGGATGTGCCTCTTGTGTGCAGTCATGTTGGGGTTTGTTGAGTGTGCTGGGCAGAGTGGAGCTCCTGGTCTTGAAGCAGCCATTTTGCAAGAGCTCCCCAGCAGTCGTTACCTGGCAACAGTATTTGAAATTTCACTTTTCAAAACCAGTGTAAATTTCAAGCCAGGGTTTTGCTGAAATGAGAAGCTTTGACTTCAGTGTGTAAGCACTGATGGAGTGGGCTTCTCTGTGTGGATCATCAACTTTTTACCTTGCTAGTGAAACAGCAGAGTGTCTAAACTCCTGTTACATCTATCTCTTTCTAAAAGCCTTCAGAAGGCACAGAGGACACCAGTCAACTTGTGCTGAGCCAGGTTGCAGTCAGGGCACATGCACTCTTCAGAGCACAGCTGAAATGCTGAACAAGGGGTTGAACACAGAATTTGAGAGCTGTAAACTTCCAGGTGACTAGTCAACCAGGGGAAAAGTATAGGGAATCCTATAGGCACAGCTGCACATTTTCATAGCTAAGGTACTCAAACTGGACTTTGAGGTCAGGTCTCACTCAGAAGCCAGTTTTGGGAAGTGACGAGTGTATTACGTCCAGCCAACCCTAAATGCTGCAGCTAACTACTTCACTGCTGGACTTTGGATATCTCTCTGCAGGCATCAGGGTTGGAAGTGACCTTTGAAGAATGTTTTGGTCTGGCACTTGTCTCAGTAATCTGAATTGCCAGCTTAGTCTTCCTGATCCAAGACTGTTTACTCCTTGAACCTGGCAAGTTCCTTGTACATGTTCTTTGGTGTTTTTTCTGGTCTGTTGGAATTGCTTGTGTAAGAAAAGAGCCACAACTTCACTTTCTGTAGAGATAAGTTTCCTACACAGGAGGTCTCTTAACACATCCTTTTTGGAGAAGAATACTTTTCCCAACAAATTTAGCATATTCTACCTGATAGACTAGAAGAACCTGACAAAAACCATCTGGAGATAATGTATTTCACACAGTGCTATTTCTTTTGAATGGATATTGTGCTCAGTTGGTCATGCTTCTCCCTAGGTTCAGTGAATGAGAACCAGAGACCATCAAATTCATATAATGGAGACCTGAATGGACTGCTGGTGCCTGACCCTGTTGTGGCTGGAGATGTACCTTCTCTGGCTAAGCCAGTGCATCGGACCATTTCTGTGGGAGCCCTACAAGAGAAACAAGTCATGTAAGTTTTCATGGAGTCCCAGACTGGTTTGTATTGGAAGGGACCTTAAAGCTCATCCAGTTCCAATTCCCTGCCATGGGCTGGGACACCTTCTGCTAGACCAGGTTGCTCCAAGCCCCGTCCAACCTGGCCTTGAACACTGCCAGGGATGGGGCAGCCACAGCTTTTCTGGGCTACCTGTGCCAGATCCTGGCACCCTCACAGGGAAGAACTTCTTTCTTATATGTAACCTGAACTTCCCCTGTTTAAACCTATTACTGCTTGTCCTGTTGCTACATTGAAGAAGGGCTGAGAGTGACTAGAAAATGATGAAAAATTGTTTCTGGTGAGCCTGGACAAGCATACTGGGAAGCTGACAAGCTTCACATTGAATTCAGGTGTCAATTGTGGGTCAGTGCTGATGGTTAGAGCTTTTGTAGCTCTTGTGAGGCTGATGGGTGCAGCCTGCCATCCTTTCAGCTCAGGAACTGAAGAGTTTTGGTAGAGCTGTGTAGAGAGAAGGGCAATGGGACTGGTTGTATGGTGGACATCAGGAGTAAGGATGGAGGTTAATTAGCCAGGCACTGGGTGAAACTGGGCATTCTCATGTAGACCTTCAGCTGGACTCCTGGGCCCCAAGTTACCTCAGGGGTGACTTTCATCAGTCTGCAGTGTGGTAGACCTTGCACTTGTCCAGATATTTTTCTCCATATAACTTAAAAGAGGACAGGTCATCATGAGCTAGAGTTCTGCCTAACCGTTTGCTGACTCATGGGTATGTCCAGTGTGTTTTGGACAGTACCTGTGCTTTTACTGCTTATATGTTAGAGAATATATGCATATCGAATACTTTGGATTTGTCATGTGAGTAATAATACAAATCCACATCAGATTAATTAGTGTAGTGCTTGGCTTCACATACTGACTTTTAACATTAGAGCTCATGTGAA